GCCTTTTAGACAGTTCCCAATCATGGCATGAAGAATGAAAAGTTTAGAAGACTTAAATGCCAACCCCAGGTCATGGCTACAGCAAATGTAAATATCACTGGGTTTCTGTTTGAAAACATTTGGTTACACTGGGCTAATGAGTAGGCACTGATCCTGTGGAAAAAAATGCAAACTAAATGTGACTTTTGAATCTTGTCAAGTTACCGAGATCTCCTTGTTGAATGAAGCCTCATCTGAGGTTTGCGCCTACTTTATTGAAAGTAAAACAACAAAATGAGGCTCAAAGGCAACCAGTCTAAACACAGACAGGGTCATTGTTCTAATACCACTATTTATCTAATACAACTCTCCCAACATTTACTTCCTAGAGCTTATTACAACTTTCATTAACTCCGAGTTACAAGAACTTGTGGTTTTTAACTTTTAAAGCACTATGAAAACAATGATAAATGATACATTTTAAGTTGTGTAAACTACAAAGACTGATGAGTCGATAACTAGATTTCAGTGTGTTTTTATTATAAAGCAAAACACTGTTGCTTGTCTCTTTTCTTGTGAATCTGATATCTACTAGCATATCAGGAGCGGCTGCTTTGTTTTCCATTATTGTTTTTGTTGCACAACTTTATCTTCTTGCTAAATACTTGGCATTAAATCTATTTCTGGGTCCTGGCAGCTCTTGTGTTAGATGAGATTCTGTTAGCGTGCTGCGGTACGTTCTCTCTGGTTTTGCTGAATAGACAGAAGCCCCCCCTTCCCACACACACACACACACAAAAAATCCTATTCAGTTGTCATTCTTGGCTTTCCAGCTTCTTGTTAGCACTATTCATGTTTTGCAGGCCTTTAAGCTATAAAACATTGTGGTGTATACGACAGCCCATGGGCTCAAGACGTCCTGGACAGCAAAGTTTGAATGCTTCAGACAAGACTCACTTTCAGGATTTTTCTAGTGCAAGTAATCCAACAAACACAGCAACATAGTAGTGACTAATATTGTGTTGGAGACAGGATCATCTCAGATGTTCTCTTAGCTAAAGTTTGGCCTTTTTTCAGTGTCTTGCTCCTTCATTCTCATCATTGAATTAACCTCGACCCCTACAGGGAGTGCAGAATTATTAGGCAAATGAGTATTTTGTCCACATCATCCTCTTCTTGCATGTTGTCTTACTCCAAGCTGTATAGGCTCGAAAGCCTACTACCAATTAAGCATATTAGGTGATGTGCATCTCTGTAATGAGAAGGGGTGTGGTCTAATGACATCAACACCCTATATCAGGTGTGCATAATTATTAGGCAACGTCCTTTCCTTTGGCAAAATGGGTCAAAAGAAGGACTTGACAGGCTCAGAAAAGTCAAAAATAGTGAGATATCTTGCAGAGGGATGCAGCAGTCTCAAAATTGCAAAGCTTCTGAAGCGTGATCATCGAACAATCAAGCGTTTCATTCAAAATAGTCAACAGGGTCGCAAGAAGCGTGTGGAAAAACCAAGGCGCAAAATAACTGCCCATGAACTGAGAAAAGTCAAGCGTGCAGCTGCCAAGATGCCACTTGCCACCAGTTTGGCCATATTTCAGAGCTGCAACATCACTGGAGTGCCCAAAAGCACAAGGTGTGCAATACTCAGAGACATGGCCAAGGTAAGAAAGGCTGAAAGACGACCACCACTGAACAAGACACACAAGCTGAAACGTCAAGACTGGGCCAAGAAATATCTCAAGACTGGTTTTTCTAAGGTTTTATGGACTGATGAAATGAGAGTGAGTCTTGATGGGCCAGATGGATGGGCCCGTGGCTGGATTGGTAAAGGGCAGAGAGCTCCAGTCCGACTCAGACGCCAGCAAGGTGGAGGTGGAGTACTGGTTTGGGCTGGTATCATCAAAGATGAGCTTGTGGGGCCTTTTCGGGTTGAGGATGGAGTCAAGCTCAACTCCCAGTCCTACTGCCAGTTTCTGGAAGACACCTTCTTCAAGCAGTGGTACAGGAAGAAGTCTGCATCCTTCAAGAAAAACATGATTTTCATGCAGGACAATGCTCCATCACACGCGTCCAAGTACTCCACAGCGTGGCTGGCAAGAAAGGGTATAAAAGAAGAAAAACTAATGACATGGCCTCCTTGTTCACCTGATCTGAACCCCATTGAGAACCTGTGGTCCATCATCAAATGTGAGATTTACAAGGAGGGAAAACAGTACACCTCTCTGAACAGTGTCTGGGAGGCTGTGGTTGCTGCTGCACGCAATGTTGATGGTGAACAGATCAAAACACTGACAGAATCCATGGATGGCAGGCTTTTGAGTGTCCTTGCAAAGAAAGGTGGCTATATTGGTCGCTGATTTGTTTTTGTTTTGTTTTTGAATGTCAGAGATGTATATTTGTGAATGTGGAGATGTTATATTGGTTTCACTGGTAAAAATAAATATTGTAAATGGGTATATATTTGTTTTTTGTTAAGTTGCCTAATAATTTTTCTGAATGATTTTGAACTTTGATTCTATCCCTTAGTGGGACATTTTAGTCCCCTTTCCACCTTTGCATACTGCATAATATATAATATGACCGTACCTCCATGACCTGAAAAAAGAGAGAAGACATGTAGCTCTTTCCTCAACTCTCCCTTTCATGTTCCCACACCTGGGTACAGTGCTTCATCGCCTTGCATCACCACATCAAATACCAGCTCCCAGCCAAACTCACATAGACTTCAGCCCTGAGGGGGTGACTGACTCAGCCATAGAGCACATCTGCCCTCTTGTTTTTATTACCATTCCCATCTATCCCTGCCCCCTGTCGCTCATCTGTCATCATTTGGCATTCAAGACGCAAGCCGCCATGACAGAGTTTTTACCGTAAAAGGGTGGAGATCAACTGTTTCTTCATACCAGAGAGCATTCATGTACAGCCAATGGCTGCAGTGAGGTTACTGATGTGCCAGCAGGGGACATGACCTTGGAGGTAAATCACTGTGGAAAGGCGTCATCTCAAACTTGTCATTCTTTCCTTTCTGGACTGGACATCTGTTGACAATCATAAGCTGACTGACTGCTTGCAAAAGTGATGCTTTGTTGAAACTACATACCGTAGTTTAAGGACAGAGCCTTCAGGTATAAAAACATTCCTTCTAATAGTCAGCAGAGTCCAACTCCTCCAGTAGACGTCTATGAGAAAATAACCCCACATCAGTAAACTCTTTTCTGATGGGTTTACAGTCTCATTTACTAATTTCAAATCTTATAAAGCATTATGTTTATTTTATAAATTAGAGTCTCAGTTAAGATGAATTTGATTTAGGTTAAATGTACAGAAATTTCAGGGAACAAGATACACCAGTTACTTTTGCTAGGTACGCAAGTACCAAACTCAAACCCAGTTTTCCTTCAGAACTGCCAGAGATTCAACAAGGTGCTGGAAACATTTTGCAGATTTTAATCCATACTGACACTATATGACAGCTTCACTTATTCTCTGCAGCTTTCTCAGCTGCATGTCCATGATGTGAATCTCCTGTTCCATCACATCTCAAAGGTGCTCTGTTGGATTGAAATCTGGTGTTTCTGTAGTACAGTCCTTGTCAAACGCTCAGGTAGACCGTGGCATTTAAACAATGCTGATAGTAAGTTTGTCAAGAAAATATCTCCCAAACCTTAAACTACCAACAACCTCTCAACTACATTTGTGCTGTTGGTGCCTTTTCAAGCATTTTTTTAAAGTCATGTGACAAATAGTCTATCTTTTAGCTGTATGGCTAATTGTAGCCTACTAACAGACTGTTCAAGAACTTGATCTACTTTTTGGTTGTTTGTTTGTTTGTTTGTTTGTTTGTTTGTTTGTTTGTTTGTTTGTTTGTTTTGGGGGGGTTTTGAGGAAAATTCTAGTGGTTTATTTGTTAACCAAGCCAATAAGGATTAGTGTTATTTATCACTTTATGCTCCACCATTTTGACCAAACATAGTCACTTTTCGTTCCAAATAATCAACATGGCTTTGGATAAAATGCTAACACCGAAGCTTTAAAATGTAGAACCCATTGACTAGATCCTTATTATACACAGTCTAAAGTTATAAATAATCTACTCTATTATCAATGTTACAGTGGGCAAAATGGATGCTTAAAATCCATCCATCCATTTTCTTCTGTTCATCCAGCGCATCCAGAGCTGCCATAGGACGTGAGGCGGGTACACCCTGGACAGGTGGCGAGTCTGTCGGAGGGCTAACACAGACAGTGGTTCGCACTTTTGGGCAATTTAGATCAACCAATTAACATAACCAACTGCATGTCTGTGGACTGTGGGAGAACCCACGCAGACACGGGGAGAACATTCAAAGTCAACACAGAAAGACCCGTGTCAGCTGGTGGATTCAAACCCAGGACCTTCTTGCTGTGAGGCAACAATGCTAAGAATCGTGCTGCCCCAATTTTTCACAACTGTTAACGTTAAGGCAACTTAAAAAAAACAAAAAAACCCCAGCTTTTGTTGATTGGTGTATAATTTAGCCAAATATGATAGAAATCTGTGTTTATCAAGAATTCAAAAATGCCAAAACATTTATAGATGAGTAAAATAATTGTCCTAACTGTACAATCTTGGCTACGCGCATGTATACTCAGCCACCAAAGTTAATTTTAATCCAAGAAAAAAAAAACTATCAAATGCAAATGTGCAGTAGAAGGAAAGAAAGCTGGTCAATTCAGTATGCTCTGTTTTGTTGTTTATGACCAGTTTCAGCTTCCTCTTGGCCTTGCAGACGTGAGTGTGTGGATGAGTGAGGAAGGCAGAATTATTGTGTGAGGAAGCATAAATGCTGTGATAAATACTGTGAGCTGTGTGTGTGTGTGTGTGTGTGTGTGTGTGTGTGTGTGTGTGTGTGTGTGT